GGATGGGATCCATGGGATGGGATGGGATGGGATGGGATGGGATCCATGGTATGGGATGGGATGGGATCCATGGGATGGGATGGGATGGGATCCATGGGATGGGATGAACAAGACCAGACGGGAGGCTCCTGCTGCCCCCTCAGCGGGGTGATCCCCCTGCCCCAAGAACAGGAGGGCAGCTCCAGCTGTCTCCAGAATACAAAAACATCTCCCAGGCACTACCTGGCCTCCAGAGGAAAAAAATCGAAGGAAATCAGCCCAAGGCTTTCTGATCACTTTGATTTATTGCAAAACAAATGGGCTGCACACTCAGCTGCCATAGAGGGGCTGGGCCAGCAGGTTTTATGAGTCCCCAGTGCTTTGGTGGCCTCTGGCACGGTGAGAGGAGGCATTTGGGTGCTGCCCTGATTTTTCCCTACATGAGGGAACAGAAGAGCAGGGATCTGAGGCACAAGCTGGCCGTGTCTTCAGGCCCAGGATGACACCAGGCTCCCCAGTCTCTCTGGACACCTCCTTCTGCCCGTGCTAGTGCCAGCCCTGTCACTACAGCTCCGAGCACTGTCCTGGCATTTGCCCTGGCAAATTTGCCCAGCCTTTGCACCCTGGGGAGGGTCTGGCTGTGGCTGCAGCCCTCTGCCATCCTTGGGCTGGGCAAGACGTGGATTCCAAAGGCTTGGGAGGGCCACCTGGTTGGGGAAATCCACCTTATTTACCACTGTGCCCTGGAGTAAAACACCCTCAGGGGGGCAGGTACAGCACCTCTGCACACCCAAAGCACACACACAGAACCTGAGCACTGCGGCTATCCCAGCAGAGCATCAATCCCAAAATGTGCCTGTATCTTTCACTCCCAGCCTAGAGGCAATTCCTGTCCCTGTGCTGCAGCCACACTGAGGCACCATCCCAGTCTGATGGGACTGGAAAGCCTGGCCCCAGCTCACACCTGGTCAGCCTGCATTGCTACAGTCCTGCCAGGCCAGGACCAGCACCATGAGGCCTTGGGGGCTGTCTGGCATCTCTTGCTCTCCCCGTGGGCCCTCACAGGCTGGGGAGATTGCTCATCATGCTGGAGTTGCTGGAGAGAGGCGCCCTGGGCCGAGCATTCCAGGCCACGGAGCTACGGAAGCTGTCCCGGTAGCGCAGGGAGCTCTCGGTGGAGGAGCCAGAATTGATGTCTGAGATGACCAGGCAGCTGCCAGGCTCGCAGAGCCCGGCCCTGACACAGCAGCAGCACAGCAGGCTCCCCACGGCACGGCGAACCTCCACGCTCCGCAGGGAATAAATGATGGGATTGACTCCCGAGTTCAGCAGGGCCAGAGCCAGGGTCCAGTCCAGGCCGTGCAGGTGGCTGCAGGCCCCGGTGTCGCAGAAGACGTCGGAGAGCAGCAGGACAAAGAGGGGACTCCAGCAGAGGATGAAGGCCCCCAGGATCATCAGCACCGTCTTCAGCAGGCGCAGGGAGCGCTTGCGACCGTGC